GTCAGCACGGCTGCCGACGCGTCGCACCGGCAGGTTTCGGTGCTGGCAGCGAATGCAACCACGAGAGACACGGGGAACCGGCAGCAGTCAGCGCCGCCGGCAGCCCGGACGCCGGGCGCGCGCCTCAACAGTGTGACGGCCCACCGGTCGCCGCAGGTCTGGCTACAGCTGCACCTACCAAACGGAGTCAGGCGGTCGACCGTATGGACGCCCGACACCGGCGCCGAGATATCAGCCCTCTCACTGCAACAAGCCGAGTCCATGGGAGTGAGCAGAGCGGACCTCACGCCCTCCACGGCTGTGCTGTGGGCCGCCGACAGCCGCCGGCTGGACTGTGTGGGCACGTGCGCCCTCACCCTGCAGCTCGGTGACGTCATACAGACCGTGCAGGTGTCCGTTCTGCGAGCACTGCACTCACCACTGCTGTCGTGGCACGATTGTATCGGCCTGGGAATTCTACCGGCGAGCTTTCCCCGGCATATTTGCCAGCGCGGCTCGGCAGCCGAGACTGGGACGGACGGTGGGGCACCGGAGCCGCCGCCGCCCGGCGAGCCGCCTGACGCCCCCGCCGCCGGCAGACAGCCCGCACTACGGCGCTGCAGCGGCACGACGGCGGCACCTGAGGAGACCCGGGACCTAAGCCGAGTCTCTGCCGCCGACCGGCCGGCCGCCAGCTCGGCCGGCGCCGACCCGACCGGGCGGGCGCCGCCGCCCGGCCCTACGCGCGCGCCGCCGCCCGGCCGCGCGCACGGCCCGGCCGCCGGTGGCACCCCCTCCGCACGGCAGCGGCGGGCAGATTTCGACAAATTGAAAGCCGAGTTCCCGAGGGTCTTCGATACGAAGTCGACCCTGCTGAAGATGACGTGGGAGCCGATGAAGATCGAGCTGACGGACGACGCCGTCCCTCACGCTGTGACCACCGCCCGGAATATCCCGTTCTGTTGGCGAGAGGACGTGCGACTGCAACTCGACGAGCTGATGGAAAAGGACATCATCGAGCCGGTGGAGCACCCCACAGACTGGTGTCATCCGATCGTTCCTGTGGCCAAGGGGTCGTCAGACGGCACAGTGTCCGGCTGTCGGCTGACCGTGGACTTCACGAAACTGAACCGGTTCGTGAAGCGACCGACGTACCCGGTCCGCTCGCCTCAAGACGCAGTCGCCTTCGTCTCACCCGGCGCTGCGTACTTCACCAAGCTGGACAGCAAGGCGGGGTACCACCAGGTCCCCATCCGGCCAGAAGACAGAGACCTGACGTGTTTTATCACGCCGTGGGGCCGCTACCGGTACCTGAGTGCTCCAATGGGAATCGTCAGCTCTGGCGACGTGTACAACCAGCGCGGTGACGCCGCGCTCGGCGACATCCCGCGCACGTGTAAGGTCGTGGACGACGTCCTGGCCTATGACGCTGACTACGCCGCCCACCTGCAGCACGTGCGGCAGATTCTGCTGAGGTGTGACCAGCACGGTATCACACTCAACCCGGACAAATGTCAGTTCGCGGAAGACGAGGTCGAATTCTGCGGCTTTCGCATCAATTCGGCTGGCTATACCGCCGACGGCAAGAAAGTCCGTGCCATCCAGGCCTTCCCCAGGCCGGGCAACATCACCGACCTACGGTCGTTCCTCGGCCTGGTGACCCAGCTCGGCGCCTTCTCCCCAGAGGTCGCCGCCGCCGCCTAGCCGCTGAGACAGCTGCTGCGGCCGCGGAACGCGTGGCTGTGGACGCCAGCGCACGAGCAGGCGTTCAGCGCGGTGAAGATGGCACTCACGTCACCTCCCGTGCTCGACTTCTTCGACCCTCGCCGCCGCACAGTCCTGAGACTGACGCCGCTCGCTCCGGCGGCCTGGGCTACTGCCTGCTGCAGCAAGACGCCGCAGGCCGGTGGCGACTGATCCAGTGCGGCTCACGCTTCCTATCGGACGCCGAGTCGCGGTACGCCGTGATCGAGTTGGAGCTGCTGGCCCTGGCCTGGGCCTGCAAGAAATGCAGCATCTATCTCGGCGGGATGCAGCGGTTTGAAGTCCTGACCGATCACCGGCCGCTCATCCCGATCCTCAACAGTAAGAGCCTTGCGGAGATCGAAAATCCACGGCTCCAGCGGCTACGAGAACGGCTGGCGCCGTTCAACCTGCTCGCCACCTGGCGGCAAGGCAAGCTGCACGCCATCCCGGACGCGCTGTCGCGCGCGCCGGTGGATGACCCGGCGCCTGAGGACGAGGAAGCCGAGAGGGACGCCAGCCATCAGCTCGCCAGCGTGCTCTCACGGCTGGCCACCGACGGGGCGGACGACAGTCCCAGCCCGTTCAAAGACGCGGCGCTGACAGAGGTGCGCGCCGCCGCCGCCGCCGATCCGGAGCTCATCACACTCACTGACCTGATCCTGAACGGGTTTCCAGAGCACCGGTCACAGCTGGACCCGCGCCTCCGACCGTACTGGGGAGTTCGGGACCGGCTGGCCGTGGATGACGGCCTGCTGGTGTGCGGCCAGCGGCTCGTGATACCGCCCAGTCTGCGGCGCGCCACGCTCGAGCGCCTGCACGCCAGTCACCAGGGCGTCGAGCGCACCAAACGCCGCGCGCGGCAGGTAGTCTACTGGCCGTTCCTGGACAGTGACATTGCGAACCATGTCGGAGCGTGCCCAGCCTGCCAGCAGTACCTGCCCAGTCAGCAGAAGGAGCCGCTGATGCCGGAAAAGACGCCATCACGAGTGTTTGAGGCTGTCTCCGCTGACTTCTTCGCCTGGGCCGGCCGCACGTTCCTGGTATACGCGGACCGGCTGTCCGGGTGGCCGTTTGTGTCGCACGTGGCCGGCGAGGCGACTGCCAGAGACCTGGTCTGCAGCCTGCGCCAGATGTTCGCGGCCACCGGCGTGCCCACCACCCTCCGGACAGACGGTGGACCCCAGTTCACCGCCCGGCTCACCCGAGAGTTTCTGCGCCGCTGGGGAGTGGAGCACCAGATCTCCACACCGCACTACCCTCAGTCTAATGGGCACGCCGAGTCGGCGGTCAAGGCCCCCAAACGGCTCATCCAGAAGGCGACCAGCAGCGGTGAGCTCGACACGGACGCCTACGCTCAGGGGCTGCTGGAGCTGCGCAACACGCCGCGCGCCGACGGCCGCTCTCCGGCTCAGGTCCTATTCGGCCACCCGCTGAGATCGGCAGTGCCGGCGCACCACCGGTCCTTCGCCGACTGCTGGCAGCGGGCGGCGGACGACTGTGACGCCAGGGCCGCCGCGCAGCAACAGGAAACAGCCGAGCGGTACGACACGACAGCCCGCCAGCACAGCGCGCTCACCATGGGTCAGCGTGTGCTCGTCCAAGACCCGCGGTCGGGGCTGTGGGACCGCGTCGGCGTCATCACGGCGGTCGGACAGCGGCGCGACTACCTGGTCCGACTGCCCAGTGGCCGAGTCTACTGGCGGAACCAGCGCCATCTGCGACCCCAGAGATCTCTCATCTCGGAGGGCGCCGCCACACCTGCACCCGGGCGCCGGCAGCAGCTCGCTCCGAGCTCGGCACCCGACGGCACGGAGGAGACCGCCGCCGCTGCGCCGGCGGGCGGACAGCCGGCACCACCGGTACTGCGGAACAGCGCCGACGACCCCAGCTCAGTGCGCCGTGGGACGCGCCGCCGTCGCCGTCCGGCCCGACTGACCGTGCGCTGGGCGGACCAGACGTACGACTGAGTTCGTGCGTCCACACTGTGTGTGGTGTACATTTTTGTTTATGTGTTAGACCGTAGACGCAATGCGTATCTTGTACCGACGCATGCGTCTTGAGGGGGGGGGTGTTGTGATGGGGCACGTTTTCCTTTCCCTTCATTTGGTCTCACCCCCCGGTCATATGGAAGCACATAAAAAATAAACAGTTCCATGGTCGCCGCCATCGTGTTTCGGTCGTCCTGTGTCGCTCCAGGGATATCGCCGTGTTAATCGCCACTACCGACCATAACAGAACTGACGCATCGGCGGAAGCGGGAGTCCGCAGCGGAGAAGCCTTCGTGGAGTGTACACGGGTGAGGGAAATGAATGCTAAGTGTATCCAAATTGAAGGCACTGCTCTCGAATGATATAAATACTGAACAGCTTTGGATTGTTTATTTTCCAAATGTTTACTTTCAGGACGAGTACTCCTTGTCATTCGGTCGTCAACTCCTCTCTCCGACCCCGGCTTAGCGCAGGCACGTATAACCTAGAATTTGGCCGAGGGGGGGGGGGGAGCGGAGGAATCCCGTAGAGAGAGCCTCCTACCTACAGAAGGCCCTCTACCCGAGGAGTCAGAGGGGTCCTAGTGGTCAGACACAGACACTAGCGGTTATTCACAGGAGGCCCCATGCAGTAAATTGAAGGACCCTAGGTGGCAGGCGAGTCGGAGAGCCTTGATTGTCCTGAGTCCTGACGTGATTTTTTGGGGGATTCCCATGAATTTCGTTCGTCTCCGACGTGATTTTGGCCAACGTGGGCCTTCTGCCAGCATGGGCCCTGAAAACCCCTAGGGGGAGGCGCACCCCGTCCGTCCCCCCTTGGGTACGTCCCCGGTCGGTCCAGCGACTCCACACGCGCCTACCGACACACAAGAAACTCTTGCCAGTATGTTTGCTTCTGACGCAATCATGACAGAATTACGCTCTATTGATATGCATGCTGCCATTGCTTTGGAGTCGGTGTTTTGAATTTCTGCGTTTTTTTTTTTTTTTTTTGATCGGCTCCACTCTCCAGACAGCTGGCTCAGCCTGATCGACCAGAGCAATGCGACACCTATACCAACTTGATACCAACCTACTTGGCGGGGTGGTGAATTCATGAAGTGCGAATGCGAAACATGGCAATAGATGGCGGAACAAACAGCATGGGGAAGGCCGGGACACGCATTGAGAAATGAAATCCGTCACTTCCCAGATTTCGAACGCATGCTTAGAGTGCATTACTTTATGTGCTTGCGTTCGGTCTTGAGATTTCTCAGCAGATGTCGCCAACAGCAGAGAGATTGATCTAGAATGTCTCGTTATCGGAAAAGTATGGTAGCCATACACCAAATGGTTTTTGCGTATAGCTACCATATTACTTCCGATATGACTGTTGACATTACTGCGGATATGACGGAGCAGTGCATTGGCAATATGCCAAGGGCAGTAACATGCCGTCAGTCACGTCAGTCATCGGCCTTGGCTATCTGTAAGAATCTTGGCAGGAATCTTGGCCTTTTCTTGGACCCATAGCCTCGGCCTTCTACCAATCATATCGCCGAATTCGCAGGCAGTGAGAGACAAATACGGCGTGCCGAAGACATATTGGGTGTCTCAAAATCACTGAGAACTCTATAGCTCAAAATTTAAGCCCTGCACGTTTTTAGATCTACCCCGTTGAGTGGCATTCTTGTGAAAATTATGTAAATATGTTTATCAGAATAAGGGAGAAGTGTAGGGGGCGGCGGGTGAGGTGCAGAAGAAGAATAAGAGGAAGTTGTACCTATCCAGTAACTTTATCTTGATTTGTGGACTAGACGAAGACTAGATTTTGATGAAGAAATTGAAATCGATAAACTTGAACTGCAGGTAAGGTGTTGGTTTGTCATGCCGATTGTCTTGAAACCCTTTCCTTTTAATCTTTCAATTAAAATCATCAACTCCTATTCAAACCACCAAAGAGCCGGCAGATCTCACTCAGTCTAAATTTTCGTTCAGAGGCCAGTTTTACTTTACCCGATTTACCAACAAAAATAGCTGCCTGGAATTTTTCTCCTTATATATCCATTCCACGTAGGTACCACATACAGAGAGTAAACGTGATTGGCATGTATGTAAGCAGGAAGGGCTTCACCATTTATGCTCCATATGTGAATTAGCCTTTAGGCAAAATAATCCGGCAGGTGGCTATTTTCTGTTTGTAAAACTGGCCTCAGATGGAGTGGTATCATTTGATTAACCATCACACGATCAGGCATCAACAAAGTTTGTAAAAAGGTAAAAGCTGCTTTGAGAAAATAGCACTGTGTTTTATCCTGGCTTCATGACTCTCTAACGCTCTTTCAAACACATGCTTGTTTTCTGACAATTGGTGATACAGAGAGGGTCTGCATTAATGTCCAAGTATGGTCATTTAGGATCAATTTTTGGTGCCCTCGTTTTATATTATTCCAGCAGCCTTAGTCTGCCCAACTGACATGCGCTGAATTTGTCGCATGTGACGTTACACCTGACGTGCGCCGAAATTTTAGGTGGAACCCTGCCACTACGCCAAACATAACTTATGGAATGATCACTGCTCAGTTTCGCAGGTTCACCAGAACAGCGTCATGGGTGCACAATGACCACCGTAGTGCCCGTAAACCCTAATAAACAAACAAGCAAACATCAGTTGCGCACTTAATGCCAATTTTCACAATTTTGATTGTGTATTGATATTGTTTGGTCATTTCAGGACTCGTGGCGCTGCTCGCCTCCTCGCCAATGCGAACGCGTTCTCTGAGGACAACCCGCCCAAGGCCAGCATGACGAAGCCACGCCACCGCGCCGGCTATAGACTCACGGCCTGAAGCGAGTTTGGGCGCGACGGCTGGCGAGCCAAGGCGGCGGAAAGTCGTCTGGCGGAGCTCCCGTCTGAGGCGAGCTTGATCTGGTCAGACAGCTCCGCCACCGATGGTGTGCTAGATGGAGGAGGAGGGGCCACCCCCCCCCCCTGAACCGCGACATCCGGGAGGTGCGTGTCGCGGCAGGCGCCCTCTGCTCTAGCACGCGCGGCGAGCTATTCGCCCTAAGAGCGGTGTTGGAGGAGCTGTTGACCAAGACTGGTCGCGACACCTCTCTTCCGATAATTATCGTCTGTACCGACTCGATGGCGGCGCTGGCCCTCCTGCGGAGCGGCGCGGCGGCCCAGAGAGCCCCTCTGGCCGCAGACATATGGGGGCTGCTGGCAGCGCTCACCGAGGGGGCCAGCCAGTGATAATGCAGTGGGTTCCTGCACACTGCGGGCTTCCGGGCAACGAGCGGATGGACGCCCTCGCGCGTGAGGCTGGCGCCCTATCCCAACGGTAGCGCCGTCCGCCGATCGACTTGGGCAGCACTATCTGCAAGGCAGGCGCGCGCGACGCTGCGCGCGCCTGGCGGCGGAGCTGGCAGGACGGATGACCCTGGCTGCCGCCGTGAGAACCATCCAGAACCGTACGGCTATGCTGCGGCAGCGGCTGAAAGGAACGCAACAACAATAACTACAACAGCAGCTGCTAATGAAAGGGGAAATCATGGAGCCGGATGACCCGGCACATGGCGCTCAGCCAGCTGAGAATGAGAGCAGCTATCAAATCGCCAGCAGGGTGCTGCGGCTGGTAACTGACGACCTTGGTAGAGAGAGCGCCTCCGCTGATGCGGATGAAACTACCCCCTCTCGGGTTTGTTTGACGCCGTCTCCGTCGACTCTTTCGCCTGGGCCGGCTGGCGACCGCGCTACATTTCTTGGGCAGTGACTCGTAACTGTGTTCACCAAACTTTTAAAACTCCCCACGTTAGCATCTTTAAAGAATGTTTTCCTTGTACACTGCTGCAATGTCTTATGTAGGCATGTTGTACAGTCTAAACGAGTGTGGAATGCTTTGTTGTGCTTGTTCTGTATTTCGTTTGCTATTTATCACGGTGACTATAATTTATTTTGACCAACCCTTGCCTTGTTACAATTGTAGTGGATGGTTTCTGAACTGCTGTTTGCATTATAGATGTTGCTAGTGCGTAGACGCCAAAGATTACTTTATACCTATTGACGCGCCAGATAAAGGAGGTGAAGTATTCCTCTGATCTATACCTACGGAATTCCTTTATGTGTGTTTTGTAATCGATATTGGCGGTTTTCTTATGTGATGCGGTGTAGAGCGTGGCTGAGGAAGGCGATGTTTAAAGTTGCTAGTTATTTTTCAATACATCTTTGATCGGACTCTCGTGCTTGCTGTAGGTCGGACTTCCGTTCTTGACGGTGATTGGACGCACGTGCCGGTAGTTCACAACAATGCGGCTTTCGATTATAGTATAGATTTAGATACATTTAAAGTGTTTGTATACGTAGTCCTGAGTTTCGAGATATTATCCTTGCGGGCTTCTTGCCAACAGATTGTCCACTTCTGTGTCCAGTACTCATCCCACTCACGAGGCTCAGTTGTGTTTGCCAGCCCCTATACGGAAACATTGGCCAGATAACTGACTACTACTGAAATTTTAAGAAGCGTGGGCAGTAGGGCATAACGAACGGTCCTCAGCTTCAGTAGCCGCGGAGGGGGGGGGGGGTGGGCACCGCCGACTTTTGGTCCCATTCTTTCCATGCAGGCCAAAATCAAAGGGGGGCACGGTGCCCCGGTGCCCTCCCCGTTCCGTCGCCTATCCTCAGGTTATTTCTGACCTGACAGGCTCAGGGAGGATTGCTCTTTGTTGTTTTTCTCCGATGAACCCTCTTGCTGCACACTGGCTGATCCAAAGGATGGAGGGGACGGGGTGCAGACGCATGAAAAAAGAAGACAATGTTCTTTCCCTAGCGCACGAAATCAATTCTTAAATGAAAATTAAACGAATAAGCTTCCGTTAAAGGAAAAGGGCCACCTTTAACATGGGGATTTAAACTGAGATAGCCATCTTGTAGCCCGTGTCCGAAAACCTATCTGCCTACCTCCTTACGGCCGATTTCGGCCTCCATTCGTAGTTATCGGCAATTTTAAAAGAAAATACGCCAGGAATGCGTTCTTATCCCAGGAATGCGTTCTTATCCGACAATATAGCCACCCGCGGCGAGGCTTTGGTTTTTTACCAATCAGCTCCAACCAGCTCAGCTTTAACCAATCAGCTTATCTGACACAATCCGACGAGTCTGTCTTCTGAACGCTGATTGGCTTGAGTGTGACGTCATCGCTATGCCATCATACAGTAGGTGCCGTAGAGAGTATCAACATAGTACCAATATGTTAAATAGTTTTAAATACTTTTTCGCGAATTGTGCACTTCTGGCACCAGTTTTAAAAAGAAAATGAAAAATAATAATGTCAAAATGAAAAACAACGATATCTTCATATTTCACGAAGGTGGCCCTTTTCCTTTAAGAAGCCCCCGTTCCGTATCTTCCGTTCCATTCCACGACTCGCACCCAGTGACTTGCTGCAGTAGCGTCATCTATACCTCGCCCTTACTGCCGGGAAGGCCGCGAGTTGCGACATCTATACTATGTCTAGGCCTGAAGTATTCATCCGCCACGATGTATTTATTTTTGTCAATCGGTTTGGTCCTTCTGGCCGGATAGGTCGTCAGAATTATCTGAAGGTGCCTGAAATGTCTCGTTAGTGGAAAAAATGTCTCGTTAGTGGAATTCCACTATCTGGCAACTAGCCCTATGTAAACGCGGCTATTGTTTATCGCCGTTGCCTTGCATAAATTACTGCTTATATTTTTATGGGTTTATGATTAATTAGTTCGTAGTCTAATTATACCTGCGTGGTGGCTATATTTCATTTTCGCATTTTCAACGCTCACTATCTTTACCGCTCCCCGCTCGCGCTCAACCGCTCTCCGCTCGCGCTCAGCTCAGCGCAGCCGACGCCGCGGCCGGCTCAAGACGTGTCATAGTTTATTCACGAGGTGACTCACCGTCTCCAGCACTCTGCGCCGCGCCGCCGGTGTGTTATCTACAAACGTCAGCTTTTAGCCTGTCTTCTGTCTAACGCACTCTAGGGCCTCTATACCTAAAAGTCGGTTGCTGTCTGCTAAGTGTCGTCTCATGTCGTTGCAACGGTGCGTAGCCGGATGCTTTTAACACCACGGGACCAGCGCGTGACACCCACACTCACGTGACGCGTGATTGCTGGAGGCTTCCCGATGGTTCGACTTGCGACGACTAATCACAGTGTGCAAATCTTATATATAATGCTAGCTCCAGGCCAATCGCGAGCCGCCACGCAGGGTTAGAGGGCCACCGCCCAAAGTAGGAACTAGGCCGAGCGAGGAGAGCTCTGACCACCCTGCAGAGGGTGAGGTCAGAAGACCCCGGGCCGTGACTGAGACCACACGTGTCCTGCCTGAATCGTGTGTGACTCCCAATACACCGGTGCCGAAGAACTGGAGTGTGCAAGGGCTAACACCTGCCCGCCGTGCCCCAGCCCTGGGCTCGTGAACAACGGCGTGCTACACATGCATTGAACCCCTTCCCCCTCTCACCACAATACGAGACGAGTAGTATACACGATTAACGATGAAACTTGCTAGTTGAGGCTGATTGGTTCGTCCATTTGCCGTCTTCGCTGACCATTTGCATATACCGGCATTACATGCGTGATCTGCGGTATCTCACCTCTGACATTGAGGAGTCTGAGGCCCTCCGGCAGCTGCCCCCTCAGTCGCGGGAGGTCGGCGGCGGTGACTGATAGGCATCGCAGCTCAGGGCACCTGGTGAGGGGCTCCAGGCTGCCGGCCGTGAGATCAGGACAGTCTGGAAAGCACACAGACACACATACAGACAGGATCAGCCACCTGGGGTAATGTTGCCGACGCAAATGCTCATGCATGATAAAAACGGAATAATAACACTCACGCATTCATCGGGTCTAAAGATAAGGGCACAATACTGCTCTTATGACCTGTATGTGCAATCCGTTCAGCTAATAGCAAAAATTTTGTCGCAAATGGTAACAACATCGACATCAGTAATGTAAATGTGCACCTGAGTCACTGAGCTATAAATGTATCGTGAGCTTGATAAACATGACTTCCTCGACTTACACAATTTGTATTAAATCACTATTCCCAAAAACATTTGATATGTTAGGTACAATGTTTTGCTGCATTACATAGATCACCACTTTCACGTGCGGTCATAGCAGCACACCTTAATTCGGTGTCCGCAATTTCCTGAGCTCGTATATCAGCGGCCTGTCCGTGCTGCCGCTGCTCACCGTATATCTCCAGTACTGTGACCGTCCGTCCCAGGTCAGCCAGGTGACTGATGGTGTCGGCAGCCACCCCCTGGAGCGACACTGACAGATCATCATCCTCGTCCCATTCCGGCCACCTCGGCTCCGTCACCTTCGGCCCTGTCGGACAGAGCTGTGTCAGCTGACAGCAGTCGGACAGAGCTGCCGCCAGCTCCCCGCTGCAACACTGACACCAGAGTGTCAGACACTGACACAGCCAGCACTGACACAGCCGAGCGGCTGGACAACGATATTTGGCACCACCTATCATATGCAAATGTATGAATATCAACAACATAAGTAACTGCGACATTCCCTCAGCCCAGCACTTGCGTTATAAACAGTAAAGGTATAAAGGTACCATCAAATTGGCAGTCTCTCGCATGTGTGCGGCGTTTTCCAGCATCTAATGTGTAGGGGGGGGGGGGGGTCGGTTGGACCCCCCCTTGCCGTTTGGCCCCTGATCGAGCTAGAGCTTCGCGGAAAAAACGAGCGTGTTGCCCGTGACGAGAGGAAGCCGATGATACCCAATTTTAAGGTCCTAGGTCATTGGTTGACCTTCCAGGTCAGGTCAATGACCCAAATTCGGGAAAATCGGGACCTGTTAGAAAGTCGTAAAGTGTGGCTTCTAAGGGGTTTTTCGGGACGCTGATCACGAATATCGTGTTAGTTTTGATCACAGATGATGTCTTTAAGCATTTAGACCAGGTCGGGTCAGGTCAGGTCAGGTCAACCAGTAGGGGTCGTGACGGGTATTCGTAGTACGTGTCAACCGCCTCTGACAGCTTCGTAACATATTACGAAGTCACCAAAACTACTTCGTTAAATGTAGGTATGATTTATCATCGAGTGTTTATCTAGAACGCCTCAGTTTGTCTTATTGTGTGTATGTGCAGTGTGCATTTATTGTATGACGCAAACTTCCGAACAGCTGTGCGCGCACGGATGGAGTTTAATATACCATACCATACCATGCCATACAGAGACAGGATCAGCCGGCTGTAATTCATCTTGATACATGAAAAGACGAAAGACGAAACAATATATATGAATTCGTATGGTTTTACGGACACAGCAGACAACGGGTATAAGCATATTATGTTCAATGGGTTCAGACATTGAATGTTCCAATACAATCGTTATGCGTATGCCCAACAAACTCTGAACGAATAGGTCATTGGTTGAACAGTACTCCTCCATTTAGGAGCTCAATTGGCTTCATTATTTCGCAAAGCACATTGGCTATGTATCGCACCTGTCTCCATGAGGTGCGACAACGGCACACCGTTACTCGGTTCCGCCATTCTCTGAGCTCGTATATCAGCGGCCTGTCCGTGCTGCCGCTGCTCACCGTATATCTCCAGTCGTGTGACTGTCCGTCCCAGGACAGCCAAGTGACTGATGGTGTCGGCAGCCACCCCCTGGAGCGACACTGGCAGACCATCATCCTCGTACCAATCCGGCCACCTCGGCTCCGTCACCTCCGGCCCTGTCGGACAGAGCTGTGTCAGCTGACTGCAGTCGGACAGAGCTGCCGCCAGCTCCCCGCTGCACCACTGACACCAGAGTGTCAGACACCAAGGGCTCCGCCACCGGGGGGGGGGGGGGGGACGGTTGGGACATGTCCCCCAACCAAAATGTTGGGTGGGGCATACTATCTTTTGTCCCCCCCCCCCCCCCCACTGGCGGATCCAGGGCTTCAGCGCGGGAGGCATACCTACCAGGTCACGGAGCCAAACCTACTGTGGACGTCAAACCGCGTGGGACGCGACTTTTTCGCAATAACTTTTGAATACGTTGCCTCTTAAGAACGAAACTTCGGCAATGGACGTTTCAGACCCCGGCCTAATTTTTATTACAAAGGTTTTTCAATGTCCGATCAATATTTAGGGCACTTCCCGTTCACTCGTAATGCTAAGTGAAATATCAGCCCGGATGGCGGCTATCGTCAGGCTGCTCGCGAAGCCCCGCCTACTAACTACGAATTCCCT